GAGGGTGCCCATCTCCATTCTTAACATCCCAGATTTCGTCATACTGCAAGAACCCTCTACCTACCACTACCGCCAAAAAGGGCCCTACTGGCCGGTCATGTACCCCCAGTCCTACACCTACTCTGTTCCCTACCTCCTTTCCGATAATATCCGTTCCGCAGCCCTCCGAAAATACGAATCGAGACAAAATTCAAAACGCAAAATCACAGGCCCTGGAAAATAAAATACAGTCACAGGAGCATACGTGTGATCTTCCCCATTGGACTGTCCGCCAGGGAGTCAGTCTACTGACGGGAGTTTCCCAAAAAAGTGATCTGCTGTAGCCTCCTGGCGATGTGCACAATACGAAAGGCAGTGAGCAAAGTGCGTAGTGCTCGCTTGGACACAGCCTTGACCAAATTGGCCAGGGCTCCGAGAGAGACATCCGAGGGGTAACTCCGGACGTCTGCTTCACAAACGGCGAAAGCGATGGCCCCCAGTACAAGTTCCTTACTCGTTGCCTAGTCCCACAGCCTCCTAATCGTTGTCGTCAACACGACCTTCTTGACACACTTTGCGGAGTAGGACTTGTAATCCTGCATTGTTTGAAAAAGAAGTTGCCCGTTCACATTAAGACTTTCTGAGTTCTTAGTACTCAGTATGGAGTGGAGTCGAAGAGGGGATCTGCAGATCATCATCTCCCCTCCCACGAACTGCCATGTCGTACCACATTCATCCTTCCGTACAATCTCCAGATTCTTATCATAGATCCCCTTGGAGGCTTCAAACAGGTCCTCGTGCAATTCTACCTTGTTGCCCTGTCCTTCCACTCCGGTAATGACCGAAATGTCATCCATCACTTGCCAGCCGCCAATGAATCTTATGTCGCTTCCAAGAGTATTGATGAAGCGCAGTTCAGCCATTGCGCAGGTAATTGAGGCAAGGATTGGGCTAGTCGATTTGCCCATCGGAATACGAAAAACCTGCTTGACAATCTTGTCTCCACATTTCACGACCGAGTGTCTCAGGTCGAACTTAACGCCTTCCAGGATCAGCTTCAGAGTCAGACTAGTAAATCTGTCCGTCTTCCTCCAATTATTGCTGATCACACAGATCGTCCTCCTCCGAGACAACTTGCTTACAGCCTTTCTCTTCATAAAATCTGAGCAGGTGATGCACTGCCTGAATTACGGCTTCATGTGGAATGCATGGAAACATATCCTTAATGTCGTAGCATCTCCCGATGGCTCGTTTACAGCCTGCGGCTCTGAACCGCTCTGTAGCCCTGCAAGCCTCTCCGTCAGTTCCGAAATTGAGTTCAGATAAAAGGTACTGTTAGCCGGTAGCCGTTTCAGCATCTCATTCAGAGCACCGGCTATTCTTCGTTGCGTCATTGTGGCCGGGTCAGCAGGTGCGGGCGCTATCGGCCTCCAGCGTGATAGATCCTTGTGCTTTGGGATCACGTACGCCGTACCCAGGCAGCCATGCGACTTCCAGTTGCCTATCTCCAAAAGTCTGCTACTCATGAAATCTTCCCTGCTCTCCCTCAGGACATCCTGCTCAACCTCCCAGGTGCCCACCGCTTCATAGTTAGTATTCCAAGCACAAGTTTTCCCAAACCCGTGTCGGTAGAGCATTGGGCACAGCACTGCCGTGTCCCCCTGATTACTATCTATGGGAGAGAGTACCAGGCCAGCAAAACGCGTTTTCCAGCTCAGCACTTCTCCGTCAGTCCAGGCCGTCATTGACCCACTCCCCATCGTCCACACCTCCCTCGGTTTCACCTCCGGTAACGTCGTCACGTTCAAGTGTCTGGTCGTCATGAGTACTGCCTTCGCCACAGTGTCGGTGCTGCTCGCTTTGGCTGGTCTAGTCACATTCTTGGAATTCCTTACGAAGGTAGGTGCCTCCATCTTTGAGAAACGCGTTTTTTTTTGTTTTTTTTTTTCCATAAACAAACTGCTGAAAATCAGGATAGATGATGAGAAAACTACAAATATAGATGATGAAAAAAACTACGAATCCTTTTTTACGATCGCTAAACACCTCAAGTGTCTGGTCGTCATGAGTACTGCCTTCGCCACAGTGTCGGTGCTGCTCGCTTTGGCTGGTCTAGTCACATTCTTGGAATTCCTTACGAAGGTAGGTGCCTCCATCTCTGAGAAACGCGTTTTTTTTTTTTTTTTTTTCATAAACAAACTGCTGAAAATCGGGATAGATGATGAGAAAACTACAATTATAGATGATGAAAAAAACTACGAATCATTTTTTACAATCGCTAAACACCTCCTGAAATCCACCCGCAATTCTCCGAACACTCAAGTATCTAAGGGAATTCCAGCAGATAATAACAAAGCTCACCAAAACTGACTTATTCTTTGAAAAACTCATCCAGGCCTCACACCCCCTATCCGCTAGGTTACAGAGCAACGCGACTCACTCCAGCTCCGACGAGTGTCGTCCTGTGTCAGCAACCCCCAGCTGTCCCTTATGATGCCCCCGCATAACAGCCCCAGATCTCTCTACAAGGCCTCATGCCCTCACCTTTGGCAAGTTACAGGGCATCACCCCGGCTCCGGCCAGCGTCGTTCTGGCATGGAACAGCCACGAATCCTTAATATAATTGTCCAATTCCAGTGCAGCTTCGTACAAACCACCAACAGTCCCTCAGAGTCCTGAGAGATTCTGCAAACTACCAGGAATAACAAGGGTGTTTGTTTTGAATATTCCAGCAAGAATCAGAAAAAGTCCCAGCCAAATTCAAGCAAAGGATATAGAAATTCCCCCCTTTCCCCTCATCCCCCTGCCCCACCGCTGCCTCCACCGAAAAGGACCGCCCCTGAACACGAGCACTCCTCATCGGCCCCAACTTGGGACAGACCCATTTCCCCCCCTTACTCCCACAAAGGCATCCAGTTCCACCCAAAGTATGCCTCTGCCAACCCCTTGCCCTTATCTGCCTCCGCTGGGATATGATGCCGACCCATACATCTCCCCCAGCCCCAGAATAGAGCATCCCCTAAAATCTATCCCGTCTCCCTTCAGGGCAATCACCTCCCTCCTTGTGAAGCCCCTGCAGAGTAGAGCTCTCCCCCAACCCACCCCCGCAGCAGTAATTTGTTTACACTAAAGAGGAGAACCAGAATTCCAGACGTTGCTGTTGATTATTTCCCCCCCTCCCCTACATCTCCCCCTGTCCCTCAACTGCCTCCACCAGAAAGGAGTACCCTGATCACAAACTCTCCTTATCGGCCCCAACTTGGGATATACCTGCTTCCTCCCCCTTCTTCCACTAAGGCATCCAGTTCCACCCAAAGTATGCCTCAACCACCCCCTCACGCCTATCTGCCTCCGCTGGGATATGATGCCAGCCCATACATCTCTCCCAGCCCCAGAATAGGGCAACCCCCAAAATTGAAAAATCTGCCCCCACTCCCTCCAGGGCATTTCACCCCCCACCTTGTGAAGAAACGTGTTAGCACATGCCCATCCAACTTCTGTAGGTCCAAGTTCCTACACGAGCAAGGGTGCTCCTCCATGTTAGCGAATGTCTTTTGGTTATGTATCAGCTCCGCCACACTCCGGTTCTTCAGCCAGAAGATCCGAATCCTGGTTTTGACAAAATTCGTCAGTGGTTTGTCTTTGATTGCCCTGTCAATTACCTCCTCGGCTACCCTGCGCACTCCATTCTTCCGTATGCGTGAGTCAAATGGTAATTTGATGTTCACCCTCTTTCTCACGTTCACACTCGTCTTTCGTGCGATGACACGTTCCAACTCCGTGCGTAGACGGTGCTTCGTTGTCTCGTCCCCGAGTAAACCGGCAGTCCTATAGAGTCCGATAAGCTTGGTCGTAGGCATAAGTTGTAATCTCGAATTCGGTTTTGGCCTCTTTAGTAGAGAGATGAGTAGAGTCCTGTTCCGTTCAGTCGTAGTCTTGGACTTAACGATCCGTTTAAACAGTACCTCCCCTCCCTTTTGTAAAACAATATGAGACTCTCTTAGGCGAGACGCCTATCCACCTATCACTAGCTCAGAGTCCCCGAAAGCCCGCTTAACTTTCCTCCAGCCGTCCACCCAAACCACGCCGCTTACAAAGAACACAGTTATCCCCCTCTCTCCGATATGCGTCGATAACCAGTTGTAGAGTGAAGTGACCCCGACAACCCGGTATTTGAGCGAGATCACTTCCCCGATCCGTTGTTGTGTATCGCGTTCGTTCCTTTCCCGCCTACCCTTCCTATTCCTCCCTTTCGCAAGCCTCTCGTTCTTCTCCCCGACAATTTGAACTCGGATTAAAGTCCGAAATCATATGCTTTTCAAACGCATAGTCATTTGTGCTATCCGTGTGTCGAAGCGGAATTACTGTGTACCTATCTAACCCTAATCTACAGAGCCACCGATGAAGTTGCAGTGCCTGTCCAAGTGCGTTGCATCGCGTATTTCTACAATGCTCCCTCCACCTCACGATAGTTGGTCTAACTGTATATCCCACGCACACCTTCTTCGTCCACGGGCCGACTAAAGCATAAACACCCCCGGTGTCCAAATTCAACAGGCTTAGCATCTCCTGCGTTTTCATGAGGTACTTCATAAGCCAGGGGATCTGCCCCTGTAGCGTTAATAGCAGCGTCGTACTAGAAATAACACATTCCAGTTTCCGGACTGTTTCACCGGTTATCTCCTGCCACCATAACCACGCCTTCTCAGCGACCCACATATTGAGTAGATCCCAGAGCTCCGCAATGGTACAGGCAGCGAACCGTCAGTTAGAATCGTCCGTTGGCTGAGTTGGTGCAGATCGGATAATAATCAGTACTGATCTAGGAGTTGGTCTCTCGGTCGTGGTCCTGTCTTTCACGAACTCTTTTCGTGGAGACCTAGAAGCTTTGGTCTTGTTCTTCGCTGCAGTCGTCCTTTGTGCTTCCTCAAAGCCATCATACACCAACTGAACTCGGTGCGTCACCAGTATCTCCACCGCTTCCGGTTTCTTCGTATACTTGAGACCTTTTTGCTCACACAACTTCCTGAGAACATCCGCCTTCTTTGTGGAATAAATTTTATGAGCCGAAATGCAGTATTAAATGAGACCCTTTTGTGAACACCTAGCCGATAGGCCCTTAAAACCACCGGTCAAGGGCACCCGAGGTTCATCTAATCCATCGTTCTTCGTGGCCTCCTTTTCCGGGTCATCAACATGTCCCATCAGCTGCTGTTTGGACCATTCCCCCCGTCCGTGAACTCTCGGTGGTGTGCGCCCCAAAACGTTTCTGCATTTACCCTTCCTCGACTTCAGCTTGCTCTTCAATCGTTTAACCCTGCGTTTTCCATGTGGCTTCTTCCGCAACTCCGGTCCTTCTGAATCCGAGCCGATGGTGGTTGAGTCCGAGGTGTCTCGATCGGAGGTCTCCTCAGATTCCGTCTCGTCGCTCCAAACATCCACATTCTTCTTCTTTTTCAGGTAAGGGCTCCCTTTTCGTTTGATTCGGCCAGTGACCGATCTCCTAGTCTTCACCACTGCCTCCTTGGCCTCCGTGTTAGTCCTCCTCCATTCTTCCAATAATTCTGCACGGAATTGCAGTTTAAATTCCTCCGCTTTCCTTGCGAAGTCCTGGTTCCGACGAATCTCATCCTCCTCCCTAACCTTCCGCTCTTCTCCTAGTTCTCGCTTCACCTCAAGTTCTTGCTTTTCCCTCCTTAACTGTCTAAAATGCTCTTTCATCTCTTCCAGTTCAGGATCTCCCTGTTGTGATCCATAGCCTCTCCCTCTCCTCGACCAGCAATCACGGGCAAAATGCCCAGTCTTACGACAATTATAACAGGCGTTGTTTCCTCTCCCAACGCCGCCTCCTCCACTCCCAAACCCGTTACCACTATTGGAGTTTCCATACGGTTGCCCATTAGGCACATTGTTATATCCACCTCCGCCACTGCCACGAGGGCCGTTCGTAAGGAACATCTCGTCTTCGTCTTCATCGTCGAAATACTAGTCCGCCAGTTACGCGTGACCTCCGATTAGTGAGTCCGAGTACGTCCCATTAATAGGCTAACCTCTCGCTCTCATTCCCGTCTCAACACTACCTGAGCTTGTCCAACTGTGTGCGTCACCCCGCTATCAGCTCCTCCAGTTACACAAAACCCGTCTCATCAAAATACCCAGCTATTCGCAGACTCTACTCCCTCCAAATATCTACGATTTCCCGGTAACTAACCTGACGTCTAGTGCGCAACACCAATACCGTAGTCTCGATCTTAACAAGAAGGTTCATCAGCATGTCATGTAAAGCAGTGCGAAGAGCCTCGTTAGTAACAAAACCTATCAGGTAGTGCATAGGTTCCACTATATCTCTCACATAGTCCTCAAGGGCTTGGATCAGTCTCGCACGTACTGTGGACCGTCCTCAGTGCTGGTTGCACCTCATACGTGGTGTTGGCATCGTCGTCAGAAGGCTGCACCCACCACTATGAGGCCAACTCCAATCAGTATTACGCCCAGCCCGTAAAACAGGATCCGTATCGCAATCCCACCCCTCCTCATCCTTATCTCCCGCTACCACACCCTCATCTCCCGCAGCAACGTATGTCGGTGTGTGTACCCCACTTGCGGATTCCTCATAAGACGCAGTCACCACCTATGAAAATAGACAGTCACTCTTCGTCACCTATCACGCTCGTAATTCATCCTCTTCGAAAACACAGCCAGCACCAGCGCCTCTCTGTCACAGCGATGATGTCGGTGATGTTGACGCAGCCACCGAACAGTGCGTGCAGCTGACAGCTACTACGCTCCCACGAGTTGGCAGACTGTGGCTAAACAGCCTGTGCAGCCATAGCAACGTTACACACGCAAAATCGAGTCCATCAAAACCGCATGTGAACATGCATGTAAAAAACTGCGAAGAGAGCAACCAGTGGATTCCCTCTACCGGTTTCACCCGCCCACACGGGATCCTCAGGAGGGTGGCTCTGGCACAGAGCTTTCATGCTCGAAAAAGGGAGACTCAAGCCATGCCTCCCGCAATATATAGTGTCCTTCTCCGGGTCGTATTCCTCCTCGCCCCCTATCCGAAATCAAGAAGGCCGCTTCCCTTGGTCCAAGAACTAAAATCAGTAAAACACGAGACCTGCCGAACTAGGCTCCTACTGACGTTCGGGTGAGCCCCGGCAACTGTTCAGTCCGCAACGTATCTACCCTAAGAGGGTGCCCACCTCCATTCTTAACATCCCAGATTTCGTCATACTGCAAGAACCCTCTACCTACCACTACACCTACCACTACCGCCAAAAAGGGCCCTACTGGCCGGTCATGTACCCCCCGTCCTACACCTACTCTGTTCCCTACCTCCTTTCCGATAATATCCATTCCACAGCCCTCCGAAAATACGAATCGAGACAAAATTCAGAAAGCAAAATCGCAGGCCCTGGAAAATAAAATACAGTCACAGGAGCATACTTCACGATACATGTGATCTTCCCCATCGGACTGTCCGCCAGAGAGTCAGCCTACTGATGGGAGTTTCCCAAAAATTTGATCTGCTGTCGCCTCCTGGCGAAATCTGCACAATACGAAAAGGCAGTTAGCAAAGTGCTTAGTGCTCTGTTGGGCACGGCCTTGGCCAAATTGGCCAGGGCTCCCCGAGAGAGAGAGAGAGAGAGAGAGAGAGAGAGAGAGAGAGAGAGAGAGAGAGAGAGAGAGAGAGAGAGAAAGAGAGCGGAGGGACGGACGGGCCGACAGGCTGACAGGCAGGCCAACCGACATACAGAAAGACAGGCAGACAGGCAGGCAAACAGACAGACAGACGGACCGAACGACAGGCCAACCAACCAACCGGCCGAGCGACAGGCCGACAGACAGACAGACAGGGAGACGGACAGACAGACAGAGTCTATGTTCTATGTTTGTGTGTCTGTGTTACGTTTGCATCCACCGAGCGGCATATTGCATGAGCCATCCGACCTGCAGAGCCCATAACATTTCTGCTAAGAACAATGAGGGGGCCAGAAGATTCAGTAGTGAGTTGTTGAGCTTGCCCTGGGGCCTTGCTGGATCATGAATTTGCTAGGGTATTGGAGTTGGATGTTGATTAGTTTTCTGAACGTAAAGAGAGTGACCATCTTCCTCTTCTTGCCAGCAAACTTGTAGTCAAGGGGATCATAGCGTGGTCACATCCCGCTTAAGAGAAACCCCTGAGCTCACTAAACTCAAGTTGTTCCCACTAAATTACATGTGGTGTAATGAAGGCCCCCTCGGCAAATGTCCCCCTGTACCTCTCTGACAGGGCTGAGATTTATGAATCCTTCTTGCTCAGGAGATAATGCCCAAGTTCAACCATTCAGCCTGAGAGTCTTGAGGTCTAAAGTGTGTAGTTCATAGTCACGGAAGTGACGGAACTCTTCTTTTTCCACTTTGTTTTGCCCTTCTTCTGTGCTTTTAAAGTTTAATTTGTCTTTCCGCATTTAGTTTCGCTTTCGCACGTTGAGTTTCTCTCTCCGGCGTCTCCGCTTTTGATTTGCCTTCGGCGCTTTTCATTTGTCTTCTTCTTTTTGCTTTCATTTTGCCTCACCGCATTCGATTTGTATTTCCGGTTTCGGTTATGCGTACTTTTATTGGTGACTGAGGAAATGCTGCCAGTTGGCAGCACCAGGAATGAAGTATTGAATCCTATAATGAATCCTATTGATCCGTGTCAATGTGACTCCTAGCGTTGTTTCATCTTTTTGTGTGATGATTTGCCTCGCGACTCGGGCCCCATCTCTCATCGCACCGCTGGACTGCTACCCCATATGCTGCCAGAGTTACTGCACAATGCACATCCTTCTCCCATCTCTGGAGCCATCTTTGCAACCTGAGTCGACGCTGCTTATGCCACATCAGCCCCTGTGCAAACCGGCACCATTGGTGGATTGTTGCTTCCCCAACCACAAGTTCAGCAAGTGGCTTCGCCATTGCACGTGACTGATGCGGACCCCACAACCAGACTCTGCAAGCACTCATTCCGAAGGCCATCGCCTGCGAGTCATTGGCACGGTGTTTCGTTTCCCTTCTTCTTCGTTCTTCTTCTTCTTTCTTTTAAAAGATGGTTGCCCCTAATGTTATTGTATCCATCCGATTCGGCTGGATTTGAACCAGTGATCTGTTGATTAACTGCCACATGGGCCGGGTGTTGCCAGTGTGTTTCTGTCCTGCTGCGATTCGGCAACCTGTCACAAATTGATTGCCAAATTGGCAAATTGTCTTTTTTTCTTCTTCTTTTTCCTTCTTCTTTTTTCTTCTTTCAATGATCACATCATCACAACTTATCACACAGATCAGTTGCAAATTCAGCCCACTTCATTGCAAGTTATTCCATCTCTACGCCACTTTGGGCCTCACTGCACTACAGTCTCTCCAAATGTGCAAAATGAGAATGAATCTTCCGCCAGACCGTGGAAAGATACACCGCCATATTTTTTTTGTGCATGTGGAGAGTCGTGCAGCGAGGCCCTTCCTTTCTGTCTACAACTTGTGTCAAGTCACGAGGGCATTCCGGAATATACATGGAGTTGTGGAATCGAAGGCCCAAAGGGTATATACAGTGGGATGCTAATTTTGGAGCTTCAGCAGACAGACTAAGATCTGAATTGGGGTTATAAATTGGGGGTATATGAGAAGTGTAAGGGGTAAGGGAGCAACCTGAGTGTACAATTGCGCACAGACAGACTCTTTCAACCACAATTACCTCCGAGCCTTCTTTTGCCGAGGCCGAAAAGAACTGTGCGCCAAGCTTTGCCAGAGTACCAGCACGGCGTTTCCTTCCCCCCCCCTCTCCTCCACTCCTCCCCTTTTGGCTGGTCCCGCCGGCCATTGTGGTCCAGTAAAGTGTTACATTCTCGATTCTCAATGTTGCCGGGGAAAGGTAGTGGTGGTTAAGCAGCGAAAGCTATGGACGAGGTGCCACTCAAGCGGTTCTCGGTGTCCGCACCTGCAAAGTAAAGGGGGGAAAATGCAGGGAGCGGTCCGTCTCAAGAGAATACTGATCTCTGGTTGGTGATACTACTGATCTGACGGTCCTTCAAGGACTGAAGAGATGACACTATCCCCATTTTGTTCATTGTATGTATCAAAACAGATTTGTATTCCAAGGGACTCTGGGCCCGCTTTCCGGCAGGTGACGCTCCCCACCAATAGACTGGAGCCATCTTCGGGGTAGATAGGAGTGTATGCTCATATCATCACTCCTATCTGTCCGTAGGTTCGTTGAGGGGAAAGGAACATGTGCAATCACATCCTGTGATCCACAAAGCAATGATCCTTTCCCTTTATTTTTTTCAATCCATGGCCTTATGGTGCTGGCTCCTTTTATTCCGGGGAGCGGTAGTCTGGTTCCTTGTACACCAGCAAGTCAAAATTTCTACATTGAATGAAGCTCTCAATGTTTTTTTTCCCCCTTTAAAAAGGGCAATGGCCTTGAGATATCATCTTTTTGAGCTGACCGGCCCTATGTAAATTCAGAAATATTTCCAGTCATCTGATTCCATTCAAATTAGAACTCGGGTCTGTATTTCAACAGTTCATGGGTGTACCAACTGAGAGCAACCTTCTTCCCCCGAATACAACGTAAGGTCATTGTAGCTGCATTTGAGGCATCTTTCAGTCTAGATACAGCTAGAATGACCGTACGTTGTATTCGGGGGAAGAAGTTAGGCCAGTTGGTGATGCTTCGTTCTGTTAAACGGGGGGTGTGAGCCTCTGTTGTCTGGCATGCCCTGCTGCCCGGCGCTAAAAGGAAGAACCAGTGTGGGTGTGAAATTGCCAGGTGCCGCACGCCTTTTCCATCCTGTAGGCCCGATCCGCGATTGCAGGTCAACCCCCTGCCTGGGAAAAACTGACTGGTGGTGTAAAGCACTAGTACCTCCGCCAGTGTTGGGAAATTAGGGAAAACACCTGTTCTCAAAGAGTTTGGAGGCTGGGCCCGACGACAAATGCCATTGATAAATCTCATCTGCGGCCA